TCTTGGCTAGATTCTCATCAATGTACTTCCGCAACTCAGTCAACTCTGTCTGCAATAAATTGTAGATTGGTCCAAAAAGTGGTTGTGCTCCTTCTTGCAATTCAATGGCACAGTCATAGGGTCGATGCTCTGGCAGCATATTAGCATTCTTCTTTTCAAAGACATCTTTGAATTCTTCATACTGCTTTGGAATAACCAAAGTCGAAGTTGCATCTTTTCGAGTCAGAGTTGCGAAGATGACAAGATGTGTATTTTGCTTATCTTCCTTCATGAAAGCCCTTGCACCTATAAACAAGGATTTGTTTCTAGACATTGTCTTGGCAGATTCCACCTTCAAGGAGTTTGTTGGAAATGTCACTTTCCGCAACTTCCAATCTATCAATGGATTATATCAATCAAGCCAAGATAGTCCCAAAATGATAGGACATGAAGGGGTCTTCATAACATTAAACACAATATTGCTCTCATGGTTTTCAAGACCTACCTTCAATGGTTTAGTTTCATGGATAACATTGCCCGAAGACAATGGTCGTCCGTCTATGACTTCTACATGGACAGGCTTAAATTTCTTTACAAGAGAAATATTGTGAAGCTTGGCAAACTCTTCATCTATAAAGCAAGCGGATGCACCCGAGTCTAATAAAGCATCGACTTGTAGTTCTTGAATACCCAGATGTAAAGGTACCATAAAACAATCTGAAGGTTGAGCTGAGAGAAAGGGACCTTGATTAATTTTGGATGTTGAGATGTCCAGCCGCACGGTCCCTATTGTGGCTGGGCGTCCTTGTTTTCCTGCATGCTTGTACTCCTGAGTCTTGTTGTTTGAGGCTTCTGTTTCTTTCGACAATCTACAGCTTTATGGCCCGCTTCTCCGCAATATAAACACAAGTTTTCTTCAAACCGTCGCTTCCTTTCCTCAACTGTGAGGGGTTTGAAACATACCGCATCAATTTGCATGGGTTCAGGATCTGTGGAGTGATTCTCTGGACCTTTTGAAAATGTAGCATATGCTCCATCATTTCTCCAGCCTGATCGTCTTTCTTGTCGTAATTCAAAGAGGCGGTTGTCACAAATAATTGCCTGAGATATAAGTTCTTCTAAAGTATCCGCCTTACGCATGGTGATCAATAACTTCTTGACATCATCTCTCAGTCCATATCGAAATCGTGTCATGAACGCCTTATCATTTCAATCAAGATCACATGTAAGCTGTTGAAATTCTGCAGCATAGATTGCAGCAGAACGTGATCCTTGTCGCAGATTTTGTATCTTTCTTTCAGCCACTCTTTCTCGATCGCTATCTCCAAACGCAGCAATAAGTCTCTCTATGAAAGCCTCTAGGTCATACAATATTGGAGAATCCTTCTCCAATAGTAGAGCAAACCAAGAGCGAGCATTTCCTGATAGAAGAGTACCTATGAAAGCAACCTGGGTAAATCCATTCGGATAACGAGAAGGGTATAGGCGTAGGTAAAGCCGTACTTGTTGCACAAAACCTCGAAAGTTGGCTCTTGTTCCGTCAAACTTGTCTGGCATACTCGCTTTTGGTTCTTTCGTACTAATCCTTGAAGTATCCATAGGGGTCGTATATGATACATGTCTTGCTTCTCTCAGTCGAATAATCTCTTGTTGTAGGCTATGAATTTCGCGTCTAGCTTCTTCGGTCACTAGATCAATTTGAGGTTCTTTACTTAGATTGCGAAGAAATGCAATCTCCTTTCGTACACTATTCATAAGAGCTTAAAGATCTGCAAGAGTTGCCACTCTATTGTCTACTTGTCGAGATGCACTTTCTATGACCTGGTCTACTTCCATATTTAGAGAATAGATGGATTAAAATTTTGAGAGAAGAAGAAATTGCTAAGTCTCTTGGAGAAAATTGTAGTACTATCTGTCACTAAAACCTACTCGGAGAAAAGAAAGAAAAAAAAAAAAATACTAAACGATTTCAGTTTTAGAGGAGGGTAATCCGCAACCTCTAAAAATGCCTCAATGCTTTCGAGAAAAGGAGTAATCCACACTCTATTAAGAAGGCAAAGCTCTGAAATCGATGTTAACAGTCTTTTTTACTAGCTATGCTAAACAAAAAGAAGGAATTAATATCAGTCCAAGAGAGGGTAATCCGCAACCCTTAGAATGCTCAAGTATCTCCAAAGAAAGGGGTAGTCCACTCTCTGCCTCAAAGAACTAAGCTCTGATATTGTGATTGAGAAAATATCAGTTTGAAGGAAGGTAATCCGCAATCCCTAAAGCGCTAGAATACCTTCAAGAAGAGGAGTAATCCGCTCTCAAACAAGAAGGATTCAGCTCTGATATTAAGATAAAGGCAGTCTCGACAAACTGTCACGGACCAAAAATACAAACAAGAAATCTAAACAAGAAGTTCAAGAAGAAATGAGAAGAACTAGATTATCAGATGAGTACAAGAGCAACGCCAAGAGAATTGAGCTAGAGCTTCAAGAGATGTGTTGTCGAGACTGAAGAACCCTTCAACCTCGACTCCTATATATACTAGTGGCCTATGATTCTAAGGAAGCGCATCAAGAAGCTTCCCAAGAACTATGAAGCTTCTCGAGCAACTACCCAAGAGCTAGGAAGCTTCTCAAGTAACTTCCTAGAATCTACTAGAATATTCTAAGAATCTTCTAGAGCCTTCTAAAGGAATCTTTAGGGAATCTTCAAAGAATCTTTAAGGAATCTTTGAAGAATATTCTAAGAGTATATTCAAGGAATCTTCTGGAAGTTTCTAGAGACTTCTTTCTAGAAGGTTCTAGAAACTTGTCTCTAGAAAGGTCTAAGGACTATGTCCCTAACATACCTCTACATGGCTTGGATTTTAAAGTAGATAGCAATCCATCTAACCATTGCTTATGCTTGTGTATTGTAATGCATTTTTAGATTTGGAATCTATCAAGACTCTTTTTCTTTTGGTTTTTTCTTAAATTTTCAAGTAAACAAGTGTAATAAAAATATTTTATTTAAAATTCATAGAATTTTAATTAAAATTGTAGATATAATAAATACCTAATTCAAATAAAAATATAGACATAAAATTATATTGTAATTATTTAATATATTCTTTTATTAAAAAAATAAAAAATATTTAAGTATTATTTATTATTTTTAAAAATAAATGTGAAAGTTTTTTATTTTAGATAATTTTGATAAATTAATTTCAAAGAGGTATTTTATTTGAATATTAAAGAAAATAAATAACTAATTGAACTATTCAGTTTCAAACTTTTAAGACATGAATGAAGTCAAGGCTACAATATAGTAGAGATGAACAAAATGAGATTGAAGTGGAGTCAAGACAAATAGAGTAGAGAATATGGAACAAAAAAAAAAAGATTGAGAATAGGATTGGAGATAAAAGACATCTAGAAAATGGATCATGGAGTAGAAAAGGAGGTATTGTTTTAACAAGTTTTTATTTTAAATTGTTTTATATTGAAGATGTATGTATAAAAAAATGACTTGTTAAGGCCACATTCCTCCTTTCCACTAAATGATTAATTTTGTACAAGTCCCATATCTCCAATCATTTTCTATTCTACACCTCTCATTCTTCATTCTCAACCATTGTCTCCATTTTGACCCTAGCACTTCCTTTCAATTCTACTTCTATCTCTACTTTTAATATAATAATATTTTATTAATATTTTATAATATTTTAAAATTATACATACTTATAATAAATTAGAGACAAGAATAAAATTAAGTGTGGAGATGGAGAGGGTGGAGATGGGAGTAGGGTTTGAACATAGAGTGGGTTGAGATGAACTAGATGGATTGAAGTAGGGACAATAGTTGAAAATGGGATACAAAAATAGAGTTGGAAACATAGAATTTATACAAAATGAATCATTTTGTAGAAAAAAAGCTTATGTTTTTAAAAAGTCTTTAAAAAAAGTATAATTTTGATACTTAAATTTATCAATTATAAGACTATTTTTAATTTTATTAAATATTATTTCTAAAAATTCATATTTTTTTTAAAAAAGTACATAATTTTAAAATTTTTAAATCAATTAAAATATGTGAATGTATTAAATCATTTTTTTATTTATTATTTTAATAAATAATGTGATTTATTTTTGATGTGTTATATTTTCAATATTTAGTCTAAATTCTTTTATAAAGAATTAATACATATACTTAATTATATTTTTTATTCTTTTAATTTCATATTTTTTATGCCAAATTTTTATTTATTTATATTAATTTGAGAAATCAATAAACTCATTATTTTTACCTAATATAAATTTATCTATCCAAAAAGCGTTTAATAATAATTTAAAAAATATAAAAAAAAACTAATAAATTGATAGTCAATTGCCACCATTACATACATTTTATATATATTTTTAATAAGATCTATGAAAACACTTACGAACTATTTATTTTTAAAAAATCTATTTTTAATAGAGCTTTTGCAAAACTAACTAGGTTTCTAATCTCTTTTTTAAAAATAGATCCTATGAAAAGTATTAATTTCTTAAAAATCTACATATCTCCAATCTAATCACATAGGTTTTTAAAATATTATTCTTTGATTAGAATTTTTATAATATATCATCTTTGTTTGAATTTTCCAAATCAAGCTACTAAATAATTCAAATTTTCAAATTGTCACTATTCCTAAAACAAAAAGAAAGTTTCAAATTCAAAATTCTTATTCACATTTTTTTTACTTAAATAAAAGAATCTAAAACTAAAACAAATTTATGATTTTTTTAATTTTCACACTTTTATATCTAACTTCGAATATCTTGTTTGCAGGAAGTACCAACGAAGTACCAAGTCACACAACCACTAATTTCAGCATGGAAAGTGCGCATGCCATGTTTGAACCGGAACAAGGAGAAGGGAAGCTTGTGCCTCCACAAGACCAGGTTCTGTGCGTGACATACCCGGCATGCCGCGGTGGGATACAGTTCCCCGGTATGAGGGAGGGGGTCAAGTGGCCCATTTCTGCATCCCCCACCAGCAACGCGGTGCCAATTCTTTACTCGTTACCATATTGTTTGTTGTTTTGTGGGTTGATTATGTTTTTCTGGGTTGTTGGGATCAATGCCTCCCAACGCGTTGGGCTTAGTAGGAATCCAGCCACTGGTTAGAGCTTGGCTGGTCCGCGTCGAGGCTTCGTTGACGCAGTGCGAAGGGTAAGGAGCAGACCTACTTCGTGCGAGCCAGGCCAGTTGAATTGGATCCCGCATTGAGGCATTGGGGTTGTGCGCACGCCTTGATTTGTCACAGTATTGGGTTGGTAGCAGCGATTGCAGAAGACTGGTATTGACGCGCAGAGATTGATGAAGGATTAGGAGGAGGAGGATTGAGAGTAGCGGTAACGATGTCGACTGGAATGCGTGTTGGCCTGGTCGGGAGGAGAGGGAAGGCCAAGGACTTTGCGAAAAATTTGTTGGGGAAGAATGAGAAATGGAAAATGGACAAGATATATCCGAAGGGAAGAAAGAATTCGGATTCGAGCTTGGATCCGACCTCGGATCAAAGGTTAATGGAGGATCGGTACGTGAATGGGAGCGTCGTGGTGCTCTGGGACGGGGGATTTGTTGCCTGTAGTTGTGGGATTTGTGTCCTTTCGCCGACTCTTTTGGAATCAAGAAGGGCCTCTTGTGTTCTTTGTACTCAAATGTCGGTGCATTGTTGCAGGAGTATACTTGGTTTCAAAGTGCGGCCGCAGCATTTGGAGGAATACCTCAAGCACCAGAAAACGTCTGAGGTGCGTCTTTGAGTGTCGCCGCTAGTGTTTTATGCTCGAGAACACTGGACCAAGGCCTTTCATTAACATTTTCTTTTCCCCCCGGCATGCGATTGTTACAGTTGGAAGAAATTGCAAGGTTGGACTGCTGGGTTCAATTCCTTCAAACGTACAGCGATCCCGGTGGCAGTGGTAGAGCTGAATCCGCAACTGACGAGGCGGAATCTGGATGGTGGGTTGTTGAGGAGGCTTTGGCCTGGAGGAAAAGAGCAAAGGAGAACAATGAATTTGAAGATGGAGTGTCTGATAGTAGAGGACGATATGGTGTGCAAGATGGGGGTAATATTGGAGCGTGTCATTGGGCGGAGGAGCTCCGAACTCTTGTGTGGGGCGGCGTTCCATCAGGATTGAGAGGCGAGGTCTGATTCAGCAAGAGTGTTGATTTATTTTTATTATTACATATCTTTTTTTAGTTCTAATAATCCTTTCCATACCTCGATGTTGAGTGTTGAAGTTTGTGTTACATTTGTGAGTACAGATGTGGCAGATTTTTTCGGGTGCAAAGCAACGACGCGTAAAAGGGTACTACAATGATCGCCTTGGTAGAGATGCAGAAGGTGCCGAGCCTAGTGATGCATCCTACGAGGACAAGCTTCCTCCATTTAAATCACGGCCTCTAGAGAAGTGGGCTAGTCAAATCGAGAAGGTAGCTCTTGTCTTATGTTTCTCATTAATTATGTTTGGCCGGGACTTTGGTCATGCTTTGCGGTTGTGCTTCATTGTGCTTGCGAAGCTGATACTTGGATTTAGATTTGGATTCGTTTTTTTGTTTTGTTTTGTCTTGTTTTTTGAATAATTACTTGATAACCCAATGCAGATTTCTAAGTTAGTGTTGGTGTGATAATAGGATCTATCAAGGACATTCCCTGGTCATCCTCAGCTTAAAGAGGATGGGCTGGGCCAGCTTAGGCGTATCCTAACAGCGTATGCACGACATAATCCTTCCGTTGGATACTGTCAGGTGCCTGTACTTTCGCCATGTCCAATCACAGTACAACTTGAGTGCCTTTGAGGTTCATTGAATGATTATGCTGACGTGGGTTTCCTCTCTTTGATTCCGTTATCGAAGGTACTTTAGTCTTGTCTATGTTCGCCAACGACACTCGGATGTGTGCTTCACATGAGCATCTTTCTAAAATGGCCCTCAAACTTGTTGAAATGCTTGCAATGCAGGCAATGAATTTTCTTGCTGCCCTCTTGCTTCTTTTAATGCCCGAAGAAGATGCTTTTTGGTGCGTTTTCATACAGATTTCACTGGTATCATCATTTTCAATTATATGTAATATATTCTAAAACCATTTCTTACATCGACAACTCCTGTGTAAACTGCGAATCAACTCGTGAAGCGGTTCTATGTCTTTCTGAATGATTTAGCTTTTAATGATGCGCGTAGAATCATTTATAAATCTGCAGGTCCTGATGAGCGTTCAAGGCTAACATTTGTGCACTGGACATTACAACTTGTTCAGGACATTGACATCATTAATTGACGGCTATTTTGAAGGTTACTATACGGAGAAAATGGCTGAAGCGCAGGTTGGTTCGCTACTACTAGTTACCGCATGTTTTTGTTCTGGTTTTCTTCATTTGTTCCTCTAGTTTATTTTATTTTATTTTATTTTTTGTTAATTTGATTTTGATTTTCCTTATCCTCGTTAGTTCTCTTTTTCGCATTTAATATGTTACAAGCTTCACGAACCAACCATTTTCGAATGGAATTTATTGGTACTCTGTATCTAACTTTGGAGACATTGCACTGCACTTTGGTGATTGTGGATCAGATAGATCAGCTTGTTTTTGCGTCACTAGTGTTCGATCACATTCCTGAATTAGGTGAGTCAATTGTTTTATATGTCCCTTATACATACGATAAGAACTGTCTGATTTTGTTCATAAAATAATAACCTTGTAATTTTGTGATAGCAAAGTTGCTGATATCTGTGTTTCCTTCGCAGCGGATCATTTGAAAGCTGTAGATGTGGAGGTTTCGTGGTTTAGTGGCGCCTGGTTTCTCTCTATCTTTGTGAACGTTCTGCCTTGGGAAAGCGGTATGATCTCTCATTTAAGATAGTTCTGTTGGTCTGGACTTGCTCAATGAAATATTATCTTCACATATGTGCGTCCAGAGGACTCTTAGATGACATGCCGATCTTGTCGAATACATTCTTTGCCACTCTTATCACAGTATCTTCTTAAAAGAAATGACACCATAAGCTTGGTGCTAGTGTTAATGATTAGCATCTTTTGATTTATTTTTTACTTTTTATCACGTGACTTTTGCCCAACTTGTGTCACGATTCTTTAGTAACTTAATTTGTGACGCAAGGAGTATTATTTTAGTTGTTAAATAGAGTTTGATTAGATGTGAATTTCAGCCTCTCACGTCAAGAGGTTTTTGACTTCCGAAGCAAGCGATTACGCTTCATCGTTTTTCCGCTACAATATCAGATATCAAGAATTGATCGTTTCTGCGACAAATCTGGCGTATTGCAGTCTTGAGGGTCTGGGACGTGCTTTTGTATGAAGGAGATCGCAGTATGTTGTTTCGAACTGCTATGGCCCTCTTGAAGACGCATGGTACATCCCCTTCGTTTATTGAATTTTTTTGATTGGTGTTGCCTGAATGATCTTTTACATGTGAATGACCGATTGAGAGTAGTAGCTCTTGATCTCTTTTGCACTGCAGGTCATAAAAGTGATATCATGTTACAGAGTAAATCGAATGATTCCTACTAAGGAATTGCGAGATAGGAGACACCTATAAATGGTTTAATTGTTTTATCTTATGTTTGTAGCTGATGAGTTAATTCAACGTGACAACGAAGGAGTTCTATCATTGTTGCAATCAATGGGTGAGACTGCATTCGACAGCAACGAACTTATCATACTAGCCTGTACTGAATTTCGAATGATTGATGACGAAAAGCTCGAGAAACTACGAAGCAAACATCGACCTGCTTTGATTGCTTCTCTCCATCAGAGATCACTAGATTTACGACAATGGCGCATTTCTCAGGCGGCCAAGCAAGAGACGATTGAATCACACGAGACCTCAATTCCTGCAGTATCCTCACTGAATATCGCAGAGGATGAAGAGAAGATTCCTTTGGAAGAGCCCCAACTTAGCAGTCCAAGATCCTTGAGTGGTGCAGAAGATGAAAATAGTAGTGATTTGGATTCTCAATTCAGTTGCCAAAAGTCCTTGAATGATGCAGAGGATCGAGAGAGGGGTATTTTTGAATCCCAACTTAGTATTCCAAAGTTCTACGAATATGCTGACGATGTGGATAGTAGCTTATTGTCACCCCTGTTCAGTCCCTCAATGTTCCGCAATTTCCAACCCAAACTTAATACCTCAAAGTGCTTCAAGTCTGGATCATATTCACGAATCGATGAAAGAATTGAATACGATGATGCACAGATATTCGATCTGCATAAACAGGTACGAAGATAGTCAGATGACACTAACCATTTTATTGTTATCCAAAGGAGTTGTAAATTAATGTGACTACCTGACACAGAAGCAGGAATCCATAATCTGGTGCTCATCATCTCAAAAATGCAAAAGGACAAACGTCTGTTTATTCTGTACCATAGCGGTGGTAACCCTTAATTGTTGATTAGAAGATCTGATAAGGTTACTTTCAATGTACCAAGCAACAAGCACTGACTGCTTACGTGAATGGTTTTGAGATGAAACTGACAAGAAACATTGTAGGTGGAAGAATTGAAGGCGCAAGTTGCTCATTTAGAAGAAACTCTAGCCAACCAGGAGGAAACCATTACTCAGGTATGATCAATAATCAGATTTCGTAGCAGATAGTTTCAGGATCAAAAGAATATAGAAAGCATGTCATCATGATTCTTATACGGAGATCAGCCAAGCTTAGTTCAGCAGTTACTTGCATGCGTGGTAGTTGAGTGTAAGGTAAATAACGAAATGCATTTTGTTTCATGATATGCTCTCTATTTTCTGTGCAATTTTCATGTAGTAGAACTTGGTGGTCCTTAGTGCTGTTCCCGGATGTTTCTGTGCGAGTAACTGAATCATTTCTGCTGCTTGGGTTGAACATAGGTCCCTCAACCTGGGTTTTTTGCTCTTATTATTTTTCTTGAAATCCTTTTCGTGTGAAAGAGAGAGAATCTCCATTGTGATGGTCCTCACATCGATCATATCTTCTAGGCGCATGTGCTAGAACACAAGAAGGCAGAGGAATCCCGCCAGCGTGCAGAAGAGGATCTACAAATTGCTAATAAAGCACTGGTATTACCCTTTGATCTGTTCTCTTGTTTCGAATGTCTGCACATGTGTTCGAGTACTTGAAGTAAAGTTAGGCGATTTCTTGCAATGAAATTATTTTGTTAGTACTTGGTAAAGTGGAATTACTGATAACTTCTACCAGTCCGCTTTGTATTGCTCTTGTTCTTATTCCTTGTTTAAGTCTACTAAGCGGTTAGATGTCATGGTGTCCAAAGGTTGCAGGTTCATTTTTTCCATTAGTTTCGATAGTCACTGATGTGCAAGGATTTTTCTTGAAATTGATATTCAGAGAAGCACCGTAGAACAACTGGCATCGATGGAAGAGCGGGCACTGTTGGCAGAGAGCAGGTTACAAGCAATGGAAAAGCGAGCAATGTCAGCTGAGAAAAGGCTTGAAGGAATGGAAAGAAGGGCAGTTACGGCCGAGAGCATTCTAGAAACAGTTGGCAAGCGAACAGCAGAAGAACTAGCAGCAATGGAAAAGCGCGCCGTGATGGCCGAGAGCACACTGGCGGCAACACTAGAATTCCATGCCAATTCTGTTCCTTCAGCTAAACGTAGCGCAGAATCTAAATTAAAGGGCAGTGAAATGAATAACAGTTCAGCCTTGCATCAGCAAACAATTCCGAAGTATTTTCCCAATCTTTCGTGACTCTTCTATTACACAGTTCCAGAAAGTGTCGTTGGAATTGATTGTTTTTCGTTCTGACAAAACATTGTTTTGCTTGTTGCACCAGCAACCTCGGATATGAATTAACTCAGATGTTTGGCAATGGGGTTAGCCAAGGAGAAAAATTCCAACATAGAAGTGGTCGGCATGAAGGTGTTAGACAAGACGGTGATTCGGCATGGGAGAGAAGCCAGAATGTTAGGAGGCAGGAAGAAGCAGAAATACTTGCTAGATTAACGGCCAACAAAAAAACCGTGATGAGCCGACCTTATGTTTTGCAAGAGAGGAAGGTACATAACAATTGTGGTCTCCTATTCGTTCTTGTAGAACATGATATGCTCAGCAGCTGCAAGGTATTGATAAAGATAATTGCCATCGAAGAAATATAACTCTAGGCGGATATAAGCAATAGTTTATGGTGCTACCGAACTAACCCAATTGTTTTACTTCCATTGGGAAATTCAGGTTTATACGGATCACAAGAAAGACGATCTACACCTTCAGGAAGTTGGAGGATCATCCTCTGGATCTCTACATTCATCATCTTCGCAAATTAAAAAGATAGGGAATATCCAATACAACAATTCTCCACCTGAACTCGTAAAGCTGCAATACATCAAACGAGGGCTATGAGCGCGAAAAATTATAACATAATTTTGGCAATCAACTCGCTTTTAAGGGAAGACTAATTAACAGTTGGAACGTCTTGCACACGCCACGTATGTAAGTGTTTAAGGTGTTTAAGCTCCCTTTTAAAGTATGTGGCACTCATTAAGCTGGAGCTGCAGATCGAACGTAGCATAGAGTCGTTCACGAACCGAAGAGGGCATTATATTTTCCATGGGTGTTGGGAAAGAGCCTTAGATTCACTTGTTTTGGTGACCTTCTGGCACCGAAGTGAAGAATAGAGGACAAGGAGAACATACAGCTTAGAATATTCCCACAATTGGTGTAATTCACGAAGTTTCATTCTCTGTAGACAATAACAAGTTCGATTTCATGTACTTTTGTTTTAAGCTTATTGTCTCGTTGGACTTCGGCTTGTGTGACATCACCTAGTCTTGCTAAAAACATTGACTAAGGTAGGCAACCCATTTTCAAGTATTTTTGCGTATATTCAGGAGGTGTAAAAATGGAAAAAAATAATGCTATAGAAGGGAAATAGAAATCAGGAAGATTCCAAGTATTTTCATACAATTTGGCTCAAAAACAGAATTTATATAAATGTTTTGGATAAAGATTTTTTTAATCCATTTTGGACATGTAACCAATTTAATTCCAATTGGTGATGAGTTACTTTTACAAAATTGTGATGTGTGGCACTTGTTAATGCTTTCAAACTTCACTTAATTCTATACTACTTACATATGTAAATGTGTGGATGAGGCAACAAAAATTCAAACATTTAGTTGTAAATATTTCACTGTATTCAAGTTTAATTTTATCCACCATTCTTCCTTGTTTCTACTCATCTCTAAACAATATCTTATACATCCTCCATCTTCCAACAACTTCTTTAAGACCTTTCTTTACCATGGGATTGCATAGGCCATAGGTAAAATATCAAAATATGTTACAAATTTGTGAGGTTTGTGTGGATTGACAATTGCAGCAATTGCAACATGGATTAATTTAAGGTTAATACAAAAATAGGCTCTCAAATATAAAATGAGGGCCATTCATGAGTTGTAATTTTAAGATTCATGTATGTTGATCAAGCTCCAAATTATGTTGTTCATCTACACTATATGTTGGACTCTTGGTGCCAACAACTTCTATACAAGACCTCTTTGCAAGGCTAAATAATAATGACGGTACTTTGATGGTGCCAAATTGGATAAATGACTCCCTTACAACACTGACTTAAGTCAACAACTACCTCAAAATATCGAATTGGGTGGAGGACCTTCCTATAGTGCAAACTACAATTCTATTTCTAACAAAGCATCTTCTTAAAATGTGAAATCAGGTAGGCATGTTCTTTTATGACAACCTCTTGCTCAACATTCTTGCAAGCCCATTCTTTCACCATTGCAAAATTAATTTGCTACTTAATTATTTAGATAGATTAGGTGTTATTATATATGACAAAGATGTTATTGCTTTATCTCTAAATATTCTATTTAAGAGCTTATCTACCTTCAAATAAATTTAGAAAAGAAGAAATATATTACATACTTTTTCTAAATTAAAAGCATTGTTATCACAAGAGGAAAATTTTATCAATAAGAAAAAAGCAAAGATAATAAAGAAGAAATATTATACATAAGAGTATATTGTCATGACTATGGACCTATAAGACAAGTATTTCATCAATACTTTAGAAGGTGCTATCGTATTATATGAAGTCTTGCTTGAAAATGCACCAAGCTCTTAATTGTGGAAGATAAAAAACATTTGTAACAACAATCCTAATAACTCTAAATTGAAATTAAAGCTTAACAAACATAATAAAATATTGATCAAGTCCAATTAAATTTTAAAATAAATTATAAAAAATTAAAAAGAAATCTTAAATAATTTCTAAAGAAATTATAAAAAAATAATAAAGAAAAAAAAAAAAAAAAAAAAACAACAACAACAACAACAACAACAACAACAATAACAATCCTTAAAGAAATTTGAAAGAAATTTGAAAAAAATCCTAAATAAATCTTTAAAAAAATCCACAATTCTAAACCAATTCTTAATCAATTCTTAATCAAGTCAAACCAATCCTAACCAAAATCTAATCAATTTAAATCAATCTTAGGAAAGTTTTAGAACTTGAATATGTATTGATTAAACCATTGATCTTGCTTAAAATTTTATATATCTCTCAATTCTTTAATTATCAATAAAAAAAAGAAATTTGAAAAATATTAAAGTTACAAAATAGGAAAAAAACATCATAATCCACTTAGGTGTCAATGGGCCTCCATCTTTGAGCTTAATATTAATCTTCTAGTAGGAATAAATATTAATTGAACTATTGACTTGCTTTCAAATTTCACATAAGTATTGAAAGTCAAGTCAACTATTAGTTCCAATAAAAATCTCTTCAATCCAATTAGCACATTATTACAAATCTGAAATAACCTTACTAGACCTAAAAATCAAATTTCTGAGATCCTAATCCATTTAAACTTCAAGTACCTCCAATCCAATTATTTAATTAAGCTCAAATTTACAATATATATTTAGCGCAACTATATTCACAATTCTACAAAATTCCACATGTTGCTCTCTCACAAAACTCATGAAATGGCCCAAATTATAAACCTTATTTTATTTCACAAAATCTATAGTTATCCAAAAAAACCCTAACTTTGCAAAGCTCTTACAAAGTCATTACAAACTCAAATTACTGAAAACTAATGATTAAAGAAATCTCATAAAGTCTTCTTTGGAATTCTATTCTTTGATTTGTAATAAAATCTTAGAATCATTATAGGTGTGCAATTTTATGCCTCAAGGTCTGATTAAGACCTAGGTTGATAATTAATTCTTTCCAAATATCAATATTTGTCTTCTTAAGGTAATTTTTTAAAAAATCAACTTTTAATTCTCTTCTATATGTGTTTATATTCTTTATTTTCTTATTCTACCTTTTTTTGCATTATTTATGGTCCTACAAAGTAAATAAAAGTCGACTTTGTAAAAAAAGAGCATTTACACCTTTAATTAATTATTCTTTAATTATTATCTATATTTCTAAGATAAATTGCTATAATATTTTGAAATAAAATCCTCTAAAATATAATATTTCTATATTCTTTTACCTATTAGCCATATTACAGCATGACAATGATCTTTTGGTTGTCATCACAAAAAAAATAGATACTTTTATCATCTATTTGCAAAAAATACTAAAGTTAGAAAAAAGATCAAAATAATATATCAATAACTATATATGTGACAAATTAGGTTGTTTTGCTTGAAAATGTGATATTAAGAACTTACAGGATCAAATTAAACAATTACAATTACAACTATTAAGAATGAAGAAAGAAATTTCACCAATTTGATAGAGGATGATAATGAAGAAAACTATTCAATGAATTCTTCAACCAAAGCCATAGTGAATGCATGTTTTAATGCATTTAACTTTGACAAAAAGTGGTTTTTGGACTTTAAAGTAAGTTTACATATAATAAGAAATAAAGATTTGCTATCAAAAATAAATGAATTAAATATTTTTAATATTAAAAATACTAAAAGACAAACTCTTCTCATACTTGGAATAAAAAATATATCACTTGAAATTTCATCCAAAGATATAAAAGAAGTAAAAAATTTTCTTAATATTAATGGTATTAAAACAAATTTACTATCACTTTAATAATTTGTGGACTTAGAACATATTATATTATTAAAATTTACATCTTATTATATATTTGACAAAAAAAACCTTGGTAATATTTACATATAAGCTATTCAAGCAAGAAATAAGCTTTATTAAGTTATGAAAAAGAAAAATGACTTATTTTTGGTAACTTTTTTGCTATAAGAAAATGATATTTCAAGCATCAAAAAAACAACAAACAAAGTATATAAATAAAAAACACTTAATATCTCTATAAATATTATTCAGCTTTGGCACAAATAAATTAATTATCTAAACTTTCAATCATTATATCACTTATCCAACCAAAGATTAGTTGGTAGGCTACTATAACTATCCTTGTGAGAAGAAATTTGTAAAAGTTATATACTTGAAAAGCTACATAGAGAATTTTTTTAAAAAAATATATATTTATTTACAAGTAAATAATTGAAACTTATTCTATCTAATTTATGTGGTTCATTACTAATTTTATTAAAGAAAAAATATATATATTTTAACGTATATTCATTATTATACATATGAAATTTAATTATATTTTTTACAATAGAAGTTAGAAACATATGACAAGTTCAAAGAATTCAAAAAGTTAGTAAAAAATCCAAGTAGAAAAATTGAATATTTACAAATAGTTTGTAGAGATGATTACTTATCTAAAAAATTTCAAAGGTACCACAAATAAGAAGGGATTAAAAGAGAACTTATTTCAGCTTATTTTTTTCAACAAAAAAGGCTAGAAAAAAGAAAAAATAGGTCTATTTTAGAAGAGATAAGAAGTATCATTATTGAAATGAAAGTACCTAAATACTTATAGGAAAACATTGCAAATAGTATAAACTACATACAAAATAGATCTTTGATGAAGGCTTTAAGATTCTTAACTCCAAAAGAAGTATTTACAAGATACAAACCTAATTTATTTTACTTACAAATTTTTGAATGTATAGCATATTGTCATATATCTTTATTTTACCAAGATAAGTTAGAGTCAAAGGTAATATGTGTAATATTCATAAGATATGACAAATATAATAAAATATATTAAATTTATAATCTTCTAAGAAGAAAGATAATTATTTCTAGAGATATTATTTTTGATAAAGAAAACTTTGACTCAAAATTTATCTCGACTTCTATCTCAACATTAATAGGAAGTTTTGATTTTTTTATTAATCATAATATAGTATTTGATAATATAATAGAAAAAATTACCAACCAACTTTTGTTAAATAAATAAGAATAGCACCAGCAAAAAATAAACAAGATATGGAGTCAATGACAAGTGATTCAATACAAGAAATGAAAATGTCAAGGACGTGAACTCAAAGAAGATGCATAAACTTGAAGAATCTATGTCTAAAGAAAAGTGAAAAAACTAAAAATAAAGAAGTATGTATATTAAAAAGAAATTAAAATGGCTATTCTCAAAAGACAAAGAAATTAGAGACTCTTAAAATTAAACTAGAAACAAGAAAGGAATCGACAAGAGTAAAGAAGGCTTCACTCTTGCCTTTATATATACCATCTTCTTAAGATCTATGTGGCGACGTTCTATAGGACGACCAAAAATGTGTTGACTTTGTATAAGATGTATTTAGACTTGAAAGTAAGATTCTTATGTGGATGCTGCACGTTCTACAAGCTATCAATATATGTAGCATGTGGATACTTGTTGACCAAGTTTTTAACCTA